GGAGTTCATACTTATATTGATATCAGACCCTAATGCTGGATGAGGGTCTGCTATAGATATTACAGAGGAACCCACATGTTTATTTATTTTTTTGTGGAGAATTTCCCCTTTATATTGATATCAGACCCTAATGCTGGATGAAGGTCTGGTATAGATATTAATGGAGAACCCACATGTTTATTTTTGTGGAGGAGTTCCCCTTTATATTGATATCAGACCCTAATGCTGGATGAAGGTCTGGTATAGATATTAATGGGGAACCCACATGTTTATTTCTGTGGTGGAGGAGTTCCCCTTTATATTGATATCAGACCCTAATGCTGGATGAGGATTTGGTATAGATATTAAAGGGGAACACACATGTTTATTTTTGTGGAGGAGTTCCCCTTTATATAAGACTGATTTCATGTAAATGTTCATCTCTTGTGTCCGATCTACTTGTTCTTTCCCTCATTTTCAGGGCTATGCTCACATAGGACTGTATGGTAATATTCTGGATGTTATTATGCAGGCTGCTGACTGCTCAGGGGTAGTAGACTGTAGTGAGATGGGTGTTTCAGCACAGTGCACTGTTTACTTCTTTAACTTTTTTGGACATGTCACAGCATGAGGCTCATTGGTGTCTGTGTACAGCAGTGCAGTGTGCTGCAGTATGGTGAAACACCTGTAAAATTCTCTGAAGAGCAATCCGAATGTAGAGCATTCTTCAAACAGAAATAAACCCTTCTATCCTTTTTAGCCAAAGAAGCTGCCATCTTGACATCTGTTGATGAACAGTTGCCATTGTGCTGCACATGTATTCAATTGTGACACAAGCCATATGATGTTTTTTTTCCTATTCTTTTTTGACACTGGAAAAACTCAGGACACTGTGCGTTCTGCTTTTTTTTTTGGTGCATTACATGTGTTTTGGTGCATTTTCCATGCAAGTTACTGCATTCCAGATGCATTCCATACAGAAAAAATGCAGCATGTTCTCTTTTTGTTGACTGCACTGGAAGGAACTGCACTGGTGTGAACTAGAGCCATTGAAATACATAGAAAACATACTGCACGCATTTTTGATGCAGAATAAAACACACTGGACTACATCTAATATGAACCAGTCCTCATTTCCTTTATTTAACAGCTTGAATAGAGTATTAAAAGTTAAAATAGTATTAACCCCCATAGCAAAATATATTTTATATTTCATCTTATTAGTCCTTAGATGTTGCATGCTTTTTTTAGCCTTTTTCCCCCTTTATTTTCACCTGGTGATCCAGCCAGTATCACAGTTCCTGCCTAGGGTGTCCCGAGTCTGAATGCAGGACCTTTTGGACAGCAGCATTGTCAGTCTGGGGAGCGGGTAGTGTTAGGTGTAGATTTACAGTAGGTGGACTTGCCTAACAAACTCCAGCTAGCACTTTTCTCCATTTGGAATAAAGGTTTTTGCATAAATGAATAAATACTGACCACATGTTAAAGAGGAACTAAGGGCACCAGGGGCGGACTGACAACTCATGGGGCCCCCAGGCAATAGGGGATCATGGGGCCCCTGTGTCCTTGCTCAAACTCAAAAAAGCCTATGAAAAAGGTACCAGGGGCATCTCAAGGGGCCCTCTACTGACCCTGGGCCCTCGGGCAGTGCCCGAGTTTCCAAATGGTCAGTCCGCCCCTGAAGGGCACCATGCTCATCTCCTCTCCAGCTATCAAAATCCTCAAGAGGTCCATTGCATCTTCTCCCCCGTTCCTTCCAGGTGCTCATTTTTGGCCATCTTGATTGACCAGCGTAATATGACATAACTCCTGTGCATGTGTAACAGTCAGTCATCCTGACACACAGGGACCATGCCAGATCAGTTTACATGCCACAGAAGACTGCAAACAGGCAGATAGCTTTATATTATTGTAGAAGAGACATTGCATCTCTCTTCTGCAAGGAATAGCCTGCCTGCTCATACAATTTTTAATGTTGTCTTTAGTTCTGCTTTAAATGGTTTGTCTCAACCTTTAACTGACACTTTCGCTGAACAGCTTGGCCTGTTAAAGCAAGTTGAAAAGTAACAGACTTAGGCTGGCCATACATTATACAATTATCTGCAGATTTTTGGTTTAGATTTACCAAAAACCATATAATAGGAGGACAAACCTAAACAACACTTTCAGTTGTATCCAATTAGGCAGGCCCTTGCACTACATAGTTGAAGGTAAATCTAAAGGAAATTGGGCAGAAAATCTGCAGATAATTGTATAATGTATGGCCAGCCTTACTGTCAGGATCACCAGGGAAAAGTAAAAGAGAAAAAAGTCAAAAAAATTAAAGCTGCATCCAGTAAGCTGCAATCTAATTTTTTTTTTTTTTTTAAATCGTGGCCAATGAATATTTTCTGTGTTGCAGACACACAAAGTGTTCTTTGGCTATGATTTAAACTTTTGTATAACCTATACAAGCTGCAAAAAAAGGCAATGAAGCTTTTCAGCAATATCAAGGTTTCTTTCAATTGTAGAACGTATCATTGGATTTTGTATTAAATGTGAGTGTGCAAAGAGATTCGTCTTCTATCTGGCAGCCTAGATGTGATCTCTGTGGGCAAACCAGCAGTGGTGTACCCATCTCTGCCATCCACTACAAAGGCGAATGCCACACATTTGTATTTGTTGGATTGAAGAATGACCCAAAGGTTATTGTATAATGTGGCCGTAACATGTACGGTCAGCTTTAGTGCAATCTACCTAGAAATGCTCTAAGCAAAGCAGCCTACACAATATTAGTCTTCCTCTGTATGATTGAGCTCTTAAAGAATGCAGCATCCTTACACGGCATCCTACCTTATCACCCACTGAACCTTTTACATTGTATCACTGCTGATGGTATACCAACCTATTGTTGAGTAGAGTGGGACACTCCCCTTCCTTTAATAATAGGATGTGTAGAAAACTCAAATTCACGTTTGACATAAGGGACTTTAGCTGCTCCTATACACATTGGGGTTTATTTACTAAAGGCATATTGACAATGCACTTTGCAAGTGCAGTTGCACTTTGGAAAGACTATCCAATCACATACAAGGAAAATGAAAAAAACAAACAAACACATTTTGCTTGCACATGATTGGATGATGGAAGTCAGCAGAGCTTCACCTCATTTACTAAAAGCTGGCCAGGTCAGTTGATAGACTAATCAACTTGGTTACAACCAACCTACCAGATTTAGCATGCGATTATCGCTAGCAGCTGTTATAGCCACGAGCAATACTCACTGTCTTCTCCTAGTGGGGATGGCTTTCAAACACCCCCCCCCCTCCTACTGGGAAAAGATACAATGGGGTAGATTTGATTTACTAACACTACAGCTCTTCGAATCTGGTGCAGCTGTGCATGGTAGCCAATCAGCTTCTAACTTCAGTTTGTTCAATTAAGCTTTAACAATAAAACCTGGAAGCTGATTGGTTTCAATGCAGAGCTGCACTAGATTTTGCACCATGTAGTTTTAATAAATAACCCCCAATGGCTCAGCAGGAGGGATTCCCCTGTCAACACTGACTGTGTCCTGACCCGTGGTTGCAGGAAAGAAATTCACATCATCTTTGGCCTGCCTAAGCTCTGGAACAACTGCACTTACAGAGTGCAACTGTACTTGCAAAATGCACAGTCTATTTGCCTTTAGTTAACTACATGCCACCCAGCCACTGTACATATACGGCGGCAGGGCGGCACTCGCAGGCAAAACCACGTTTTAAAATGTGTGTTTTGTAAACAAATAGGGGGCGCGCGCGAGGCGTGCCACCGCCCTATTTGTCCCGAGGATCACCGCCGCAGATGTCAGTCGCCGGGTCACAGCCGCTCCTTAGCGGCTGTTTCCTGGTGATCGGTGGCAAACAGTGACAGAGAGCACAGCTGCAGTAGCTGTGCTGTCTGTCACTTCCCTGTCAGCTCGAGGATGAGCTGATCGAGAAAGAACAGTTTCTCTTTCTCGATCAGCCTTGTCCCGCCCAGTACACACCCCCGCCCTCTAGTAAAACACTCCCCCTTACTCCTATAACCCTTCCCTGCAAAATAAAGTTAACCCCTTCCTAGCCATTGCCATTAGTACAGTGTCAGTGTTTTTTTTTTTTTGCACTGATCACTGTATTAGTGTTTTATAGCAAAAAGTCCAAAATATTTTTTTTTCCTCAAAATTGTCAGACTTTTTTTTTTATAGCGCAAAAAATAAAAACCGCACAGGCGATCAAATACTACAAAAGAAAGCTCAATTTGTGGGGGAAAAAAAGATGTAAATTTCATTTATGTACCATATTGCATGACCGCACAATTGTCCATTAAACTAGCGCAGCGCTGTATAACAGAAAAAAATGGCGAAAATTGCAGTATTTATACCATAGTTTGTAGACGATATAACTTCCACACAAAGCAATCAATATACACTTATTGGGATTTTTTTCACCAAAAACATGTAGCAGAATACATTTTGGCCTAAATTTATAACCAACTTTGAGTTTACTATATATTTTTTATAGCTGAAATTAAAAAATATTGTTTTTCTTCAAAATTTTTGGCCTTTTTTTGTTTATAGCGTGAAAAATAAAAAGCGCACAGATGATCAAATTACACCAAAATAAAGCTCTATTTGTGTGAAAAAAAGGACGTAAATTTAGTTTGGGTGCAGCATTGCATGACCGCGCAATTATCAGTTGAATTAGTGCAGCGCCGAGTAGCAAAAAGAGGCCTGGTCATTAAGGGGGGTAAATCCTCTGGCGCTCAAGTGGTTAATCAGCCCCACTGTGTGTTTGCATCTTTCTCTTGCACAACTAATGTGATTACAATATACCCAATGCAACAGAAGTGCTGGCCAAGAAACTCCTGCTAATAAAAAAGACTGTGACAGGAGGCTGGAGGTTTTCATCTCCCAACAAATTCCTATGTCAGCTGCTGCTAAAAATAAATGAGCATGACACTGTGACAGTTCAGAAGAGCCATAACAACACCACAGCCAAGCCATACAGGAGACTCTAAACAAAATGAAGACGCTCAGATTTATCGCTGCCGAAGCTTTTATATCCAAGCCGGAGTATGCCAAGTTAAGCATCAAAAATGTTGCCCATAACCTTTATCCCCTCTTGCTGAAGGCTTGTTTCTTGCATGAGAAAGAGGAAATTATCACCATGCTAGTGGAAAACTGGCCATTACAAGCTTTCAACTTTGGCAAACTGATGGGCAAAACTGTGGATTGTCCTGAAGATCTTAGTCATTGGGCATGCCACCGCAGTCTAACCGCGTGCCTCAAAGGCTTGAAGAACTACGTCCTAAATTGTTCCCCAACATATTCTAAAAGACTCAAAGTTTTTGACCTTACAGCTGTACGTGATGTTCAGTTTCAACCATGCAAGTGTAAGAATACTTTGGGGCGGTGGGCAAGAACTCAACTGATTTCACAGATCTGCTTTGAACTTCTCATTGAGCTGCAAAGACTTGATTTTAATCCTTCTGTTTTTGATGTTGAGGTTGATGTCATGTGTAACTTGTTTGTTACAGAGAAGACCTATGAACTTGTAGTACAAGCATTATTGATGAGATGCCATAGTCCGTTAAAGATCCGTTGTGTAGATTTTAGAGCAGACAGTTTGGCTTTGAGAAAGCTCTTTTACATATTAAGACTTGCTGAACCCTCTTCTATACACAGACTTGAAATTGTTCACAATGTGCGCTTAGAAGTGCATCACCTGGAAGTGCTTCTCAATAACATCACTTTCACTCAGCTTAGTTCATTGACTTTACCAGCAAGAGCATTTAATGTTACTAATTACACAGCAGAGGATGACGCTGTTTTATGTACCATTGGAGAAAAACTAAGCCACATGGTTCATCTGACTGAGCTGAGTCTTTCATTTTCTACGCTGACAGGACGGTTGAGGAAACTGCTGAGGTAAATGTTTACAGTGTGATTCCAGAGAAGTAATAAGGGCTTTTTTATCCCTGGGTTCAGATCTCCTCCATCTGTATCTATTTTAGTCACTATGCATCAATTATAAAAATGCCATGCAACCTCCGCATGTTGTTTTACCCAAGAATGTGTCAATTATGATCAAATATAATAGTCAATGTCAATTCTACATTATTGTGTTTCAACTGTTTTTTGTTTAAACGTGAACGTGTCCTTGGCCCATTCATGTCAAAGCAATAGGTTCACCCTACTGGCAGCCCCTGTAATGGCCTATATATTCCTGCACTCCCCCACTGCCCAATTTCCCACTGGGAGCAAAGACAATTACCCTGTAGTTCCAGATATAGGAGATTATGTAAATAGTTCAAAAATAGAAACTGCGCAAAAACTGTGCAGAAAAAAACAATTTGTGAGCAGCAAACACAAAAGAGGATATCCTCTCCAATAAATAATAAGTGTTGCGCTATAGCATAGACTTATATGAAAATTATTATTATGACTATGTAAAAAAAAAGAATTAAAAAAAAAGTCCTTTGTGAGTGAATTCTAAAATAATGACCCCCTTTAGGAAAAAAATAAATAAAGTGATATAAACAGTATTTAGTGGAAAAACGTTAGTCCACAGTGAAAATGTATCAGTGCCCTTTAAGAAGGACACACCGCAATCTTCTCCTTTTCATCTACTAACACCAGTGTCACCCAACACCAAAATGGAGACAAGATGAGAACTTTAGAATGTCTCTGCTAATAACTGGCCCAGAAATGGATTGCCAACTTTCAGACCCCCTTTCATACCTGGACAGCCCATCGTAGTCTACTACTGCACAGGCATTAAGTTGTGTTGCATTAAGGTAGACCATTCATTTAGGAGGACACAAACTTTATTTGTTTTTTTACGCAGAGTACATATTGGTGTGATGCAGTGCAGGTCTGTTGGCACACTACTTGTGTGCTGGGGTTCCCTTACAATTCCCCTTGAATTCAGTGTGCCCTTCATTACAGTGTGTTACTGCAATGCATATGTATGAAGCCAGCCTCATTGCTAAGCAATTCCCAGTCTGATATTAAAGAAAACATTTAAAGTGATGCATGTAGGGTTGCTAATGTTACTTCTCATTCTGTGAATCATAGTTACCTAGTTGTGAAGGTGACCCTCTTATTTTAATACTTGTGTCGCTAACCTAGAACAAGTATGCAGATAAAGACTTCTGATTTTAACATTTTTGATATGTATACTTGTTCTGGGTCAGTGATTCATAATACACAAGCAAGATACTGCCACCACTGTAAGTTGCTGAGTTCCCAGACTTTGACCTATGTAGCCTTTTCTAGGCCTAGTTGTATGATTCTTAATGTTTGTTCCAGGGATGCACATAGGACAAAGCATGTCTATTTGGCACCTTTCATTTGTTTTTATCCCCAGAGAAATCACTATTGTAGAGATATAACGTCTATATCCAGGGCCATGGATAAGGGGGTACCACCAGTCCTCCTGTACCAGAACGGGGAATTTGATGTGGGCAGGGAGGGTTATTGGCACAGCCGGGGGGTTACTAGAACCGATTCCCTGTATGGTCGTCTCTGCAGCAGCTGAAAGCTGGCTTCTTCTTCTCTCCCTCCTGCTGGCTTTCAGCTTCTGCAGAGAGAAACTTACAGAGGATTGATTCCTGTAATTGCCCCCCTCTGCACCATATTTTCCCCCCTGTGTGACCCCACCCCCACAGTGCTCTTGGCTTCACTCCTCTCATTCCCACCAGCAGCTGCAATCACATAATAGGATCGTTCAGGATGGAGAGTGGGGAAAGGTCTGGTAAATATGTCGCATTTATCGTCCCCTCCCTTTCCTGAATTAACACAATGAGTGATCGGTACAAATCACTCCCTGTGTTCAGGATGCAGAGTGGGGGAAAGGTCTGGTAAATATGTTGCATTTACCATCCCCTCCCTTTCCTGAATTAACACAATGAGCGATCGGTAAAAATCCCTCCCTGTGTTCATTCATAAATGAAGCATAGTAAACTGTGGGTTTTTTTTTTTTTTTGGGGGGGGGCGTCAGGTTGGCTGTATGGGCCCCGTGGTTTGTATCAGCAGCCCTGCCTAAATCATATAACATTTAAATATATTCTTATTTTTCAGTCCACTGAACACTCCACTCAAAGTGCTGGAACTAGGAAACTGCTCTCTGAATTATGTAGATCTGGCTTACCTAGCAAACAGCCTACATGCAGAACATTTTTAGAACAGTTGGATCTGAGTGGTCACAACATTGCAGAACTTTTTCCATCAACGTTCTTTAAGCTTCTATCCAAGGCCTCGCAGACCTTGAAGGTTCTGATTTTGGAGGAATGTGATATTGGAGATATGAATATTCATATTTTAGAGATGGGACTAGTGCATTGCCTCAAACTGTATGAATTCAAATTCCTTGGAAACCCCAGCACAGCTATAGCACTTCGGCGTCTATTCAGAGTTTTGGCAAATCTGCCTGTGTTGAGGTACATTGAATTTCCTGTACCAAAAGACTGTTATCCTCCTGATGTCAGCTACCCCCTGGATGAAGCAAGCCTCATAAAATATGATCATCAGATATATGACAGTATCAAAGAAACCCTGTGCCGAATATTACGACAAGCTGCTCGAGAAGATATACTGGTGGCCACGCCACTGTTTGGCAGTTTTGATTCTGCAATTGAGGAGACCAGCAGAGAATTGGGCGCATGTCTACTTACATCATTTAAAGATGCCCTGCAGAGTTTCACTGCGTCACTGCAAAAATTATAGTAAATACATAGTGTGCAAGTGTAGACTTAATTACAACAAACATAGTGAACAGAAGGGATCCTTCTAAGTATCAGAGATGACTGATCCTCTTCAGAGCTATAAACAATACTGACTGAGCTGAAAGCAGCTAAAAGTTTTAAAAATCCCAGTAACAGAATGTGTCTGCAGTACACCCAAAAGTGTTGGCTTTGATGAGTATGTGGCTACATCTACCTGGGACTGGCAACACGCTTGAAATCCCATGTCACAGTGAATTAGACAATTGTAAAAAAAAAAAAAAATGAAATTTATTCCTTTGCTGCAGGGGCAGCTGCCTGTTAAAATTCAGAAAATGTTTAAAGGAAACAGAGCACCAAGTTCAATAATTTCAAGAAGAATCAATAATCAACAAGCGTAATATAAAAGTTCACTTTGCTTTATTGATCTGAGCTAACTGTAATATAAATCTCAAAGGTGCCCAAAAGTTTGCATTAGGGCCCTGGACAACTGTACAGTGCAAATTTCCTTTTTAAAAGTAACAAAATAGTAAGCAATATACCATCTCTGTAAAATACTACACATTGAAAGATATAACAGATGTGGGGTCTTTTCAGATGAATCAGTTTAATTATCCAACAGACACAATTGTCTATATTTTCCTCTGTATGTGGCTATTCAAAACAGTTTCTCATTTGCGCCATCTTCGCTGTACTCTCCTCTATGCACCAAACAACAGGAATATGGCTACAAGAACACCGCAGGATGTCTCTCTGAAGTTTCTCTCTTTCTTCAAAAAATGTTCTATCACCGATCTCCTTCTTCCAAGACTGTATTGGTAAATGATGGAACAGCACAAACCTTCTCAATGTGCAATCAAATAAATAAATAAATAAATACATTTCTTCTCTACAAAATGTGTAACTGGGTATATGATATCCCCCTAAACTATTATTATTATTACGCAGGATTTATATAGCGCCAACAGTTTGCTCAGCACTTTGCAATATAAAGGGAGACAATACAGCAATGATACAGTTCAATACAAGAGGGTTAGGAGGGCCTGATCCTTGGAACTTACAACCTAAGACTATATAGTTACTGTGACGGACACTCACTGAAATAAAGTGCAAAACTCTTCAATTATCTCCACAGAAAGAGTGCCTCATAATATCTAATGTCCCCCTATGTACAGTATTATACCATATACCCATGAACCATGGACCAAAAATAAAGTGCAAATTCAGCTGAAGTGCAACATATACACATATAACAAAATATCAGTATCATATAACATCCCCTCCCCTTGTGCAAAATAGTAAAAAAGTGCAATAATATACCAATAAAGTGCTAAATAATTTTTATAAATTTTATAAATGTCCATCTGATATGTGTTACAGTCCACCCATGCAAAATAACTTCTTAGCTCTTCTTAGTACCACCAAACTGCTTTTCCATTACCAAATGAATTAATTAAGCTCACCAGAGTGATACATTGGTCAATTCATAAACCTGCTGAAACGCATGTTGCTCTGGGAGTAACGCTCTGCAGTGCCATATTCTGCTCTCTCAGGATTCACCAGACAATTGTATTTCTCAAACACTCAAGAGGAAAAAGAAAAGGGGAACTCACATAGTTAACTAATTCACTGTATAAAAGCATAAATAGAACACTTACATTTTCAAGTGTCATCACTGATACAAGTATGAAGACATAATCGTATCACCTCCGTGCGTGGTGACGTCACCTTCAAAGACCCTTCTCTACGCGTTTCGTCACTTGATATCCTCTGGGACTGTATTGCAGAACATTCACTTCCCTGATGTCACAAATTCTTCAGGCTTGCACAGGTCTTTCCTTTTTTAGGGGTCATTCCATAGAGTAAAATTGCAGTGGCCATTTTGAAATAGTCTGAAATCCACTGATCGAAAGCTGTTAGGAGTAGAGAGGCCTCTAGCTGCAGATAACATTCTTTGTAAAATGATAAAATATTCTGCTACATAATAGGTGGAAATTTCTGTATTTTAAGGTTAACAGTCCTGTGATATGTGCACACAATAGGTACCATAGCAAATGTCTAAAGTGGATACACATCTAATTATAAGCTGTACAAGGTTTCTGGGCTAGACTAGACATTTTTAAACTCTGATGAAAGATATAAAGACTAAGAAAAGGTGTCTGAGAGTCTCACTTATCCAGTTTGCCAGCCAGAAGCCAGTGTGGCCTATTGTAGGCTTCCCTGCAACAAACAGTCCAGATTAATTAGAACAGGAAATTTCAGCCTACACAAGTCACTTGGTCTCATGATTTTGTGTGATTGGTGGAACCCATTCATAATCTTCATGGCTTCACTGGCCTAGCAAAAGAGGTCTCTGTGCAGTAATTAAGCATTGCTGCCATCCCCTACTGCTACCACTGGGTGTCACTGGCATTCAAGGCAATACTTATGGGGGCGTTGATAATTGTGTGCCATTGAGCATTCATGTGCTCTCTGTCTACCACTAGGATACATGCTAGTGGTGCATACTGGGAGAAGCTATAAATGCTCAAGGCGTGTCCTGGTAAGCCATTTTTTCCTCTGCGGCCTGAGAAAGTGCACACAATGGTTTGTGCTGTGTAGGCCTGGAACCTGTGTGGAGCTTAACACAGAATTCCTCAAGCTGCCTTTCCCTGCCTGGTTGAGGAGGGTTCAACATCCTGCTGGAGGGAGATTGGTGTCTGTCCTCAGAAGATCCTTGCACTCCCTTGGGCAGAGAAAAAGTCTGCCAGAGTCTGAAGCCCTGATGCCGAAAGGAGACCTATGCCCTAAGCCTCTCTCCTTGTGAACCGCAGCACTAAAATTGAAGGAAAAGACTAAAATGACTGATGCTGTTCATTGTCGTGTCTACCCCAGGGTCGATCCATGTCCACAGTGGAGATAATGTTAGCCCTGTGTTGGAGGGAAGTCATCCTCAACCCCAGTCCAGGAGGGGCACTACACAATAATTTAGTTTCCGTGAAAATTTTAGTGTAGAGTAACCGTCCTGGTCACGTGATCTCCCCAGTGACTGGCTTCGGGATAGTGAAGAGAGCAGTGACAACGGCTGCATTGCCTGTGCAATTAAAAAAATCAAAATAACTAAAAAATAAAAAGCACGCTTGCCCCCCTGTGTGCGCGCACCTGTGTGCACAAGCTTGACCCCGTGCCGGTATGTAAACAGTGGTTGCACCATGCATGTGAGGTATCGCCACGAATGTCAGATTAATGGCAGTAATTCTAGCACTAGACCTCCTGTGTAAGTATAAATTGTTGACCTGTAAAGGCTTTTAAAGCATCGCTTATCGATAATAAAATTGTATGTACTTTGTTGCCATTGCACGAGCATGTCATGTTTGGTATCTCTTTGCTCAGCATAACATCATATTTTATATTTTATCAAACAATTAGGCAACATATTGTGTTTGTGTGCATTAAAATTCTAAAAAGTGTATATTTCCCAAAAGATTTGCGTTTGAAAAATTGCTGGGCAAATACTGTGTGATGTAAAAAATGTCAACACCCACGGTTTTATTCTCTAGGACCTCTGCTTTAAAAAAATATATAGTGTTTGGGGGTTCAAAGTAATTTTCTAGCAAAAAAAGTTTTTTCATGTGAACAAAAAGTTTCAGAAAAGGCTGGGTGGCATGTGGCATAAGCTTCTAACATTGCCCTGAAATGCCAGGATAGTAGAAGCCCACCCTCCAAATGACCCCTTTTTGGAAAGTAGACACTCCAAGGTATTTGCTAAGAGGCATGGTGAGTGTTTTGCAGATCTCATTTGTTGTCACATGTTTTTGGAAAATGAAGAAAACAAAAAATGTATTTTCTCTTTTCTTTTACAAAACCCTGTGACAAAATGATATCTGTACAATACTCACTTGGAGAGACTTGACAAAGCGCATGCGCGCGAAACATGTTGTCCCAGCAACCGGCCTCTTCCTTCTAAAGCTGCGGCTCCAGCAAGAGTTCCCCCCCTCCGTCTCTCCATATCGTGGTGACGTCATCCAGGACGCTGGGACGTTGGGTAAACGTGGTCCCTGCACTGACAGGCATTCTACTCCACTGCTTCCCTCTGAGCGGACGGGCCGTCCATCTTGGAACCTGGCTTCCTAAAGCCACAGGCTGGTTATTTATTATTGTTTTACCATATGACTTATTAAAGGCACACCTCCATACAAGGTGTATTATTTTTATCACAAAACTACACAGCGCCTGGCTCCTGTTCATACAATACTCACCATGCCTCTTATCAAATTCCTTGGGGTGTATAGTTTCCAAAAAGGAGACATTTGGGAGGGGGGGGTTTGTACATCAGTTTCAGCCACAGGGGATAACCGCTATATGAGCAGCACACCTGGACGCCTCTTCCATAAAGCCTTGCTGCCACACTGATGAATATGTAAGTGGGGATCGACATCCTATGTGATTATGGATTCTTATGATAATTGTTTTTTAGCCTGACCGATGGCCGCGATGGATGTTTAATAAAAACCTTATTAATATTACTATGCCAACGATGACTGCCATTTTCTTTACCACAGTTTGACATATAAACTGGCTAATTTCAAGATAATTCCAATAGGAACCCCTAAGCGCTTAGGATCATTGTTTTTCTTTCTTTCTTTTCACACATGGATGATACCTTACTGGTGTAAACCTACCCTAATGTGTCAGTGAAACATCATATGAGCTTAGAGCTGATTCACACATGTGCAGTGTAGATTGAAGCTCAAGTTTCACAGTTGATTGATACAGTAGTTGTTCAGCCGTTTAGGTCAGGTTTACATCAGGTTCAGGTCAGGATTTTATCCTGTTTATCCATCTGCAGTTTAGAAACGGTTTGGATGATGCGCCACTAAGCTCCCCTATATATCCCTTTGCCGCGCGGAGGGATCACGTGTTCACAGCCGCCTATAAAAGGGCCGTGGCCAACAGTCCCTTCATTCACTGATTGGAGAGAGCCAGGAGGAGGAGGTGCATGATAGAGCTCTGAAGGATCTCGGC